GAGGACTGAAAAGCTAATGCTAGAGAAGTTAATGAAGCTCCTCACCCGCTAGCCTTGGAGAATGATGTTCCAAGTCATTAGTCTGTTCTCTGTTTTTTAGCAAGATCCCCTACGCAGGACTGAGCTTCCGAACAGTCAGAGCCCAGAATTTTAGCAGCAGCACTTTCTGCCTTCCACATGAATGACCAGAGCTCTCAGATCTAGCAGATTGGTGGCTGCTTGTAACACTGAACCCTTGCTTGAGTCAAAAGAAAGGACCCCATTAAGTACTGTGAATTAATTACATATTCTTTGTGCTCTCACAAGTCCTCGTTTTATGAAGGGCCCTTAAAATATCTGGCACGGATTTAGGCACTTTGTGATGGCCTTACATCTGAGTCTCAATGTAGCAATTCAAACAACTATTCAAATCTCTATTTCAGCTGAACTCCTTGCCAACAGACCCACATCTTGATGACATTATGTACCTTTCAGCTTAGAGAGTTTGGAGATTCCTGTGAGATTGTGAAAGCAAAAGCACAAAGAAGGCAGGACAGAGCTGAGGGGGACTAATAGTAAATATACACATATTGGGCTTAGGTAACTTTTTTAAAATTCACAAATAAGAGATCCTAGATTCATAAGAGAGTTTGAGATTTTCATTATTACAGGATTTTTAAAAATAGAGCAACTGTAACCACATCAGTTCTCTAAATCCAAAAAGTCTACACTTTTCCAGATATTTCCAAACATTGCATGTTTTAATTGGTTTCCCAGGCAGATATCTTAGTGGATGTATTACATCCACTTAATCTTGTATTGATTTTCTAAGATGTTTTCTATTACTATAACTACCCTAATCAATTAACTTTCTGTAATCAGCAGGACAATTTTCTCTTTCTCTTTTCTTTCCATTGAAGCCTGAATATTTTATTCCAAAAAAAAAAAAATGAAGGGGAGATAAATGGTTCTGTGACTTAGTCTCAAAAATATATCCAAGGCCAGTTAGCATTGCTTTGTTTATCCCAATAAACAATTCCACCTGTATTAACATGTGAGAGTTTGTCATGTGGGCAGGAAGTTACTCTAAACCAAGCACTTCAAACTCAAAGGCTGACATGGGCCAAATAAACAAGGCAGACAGGCCTCAGGTTGTGAGTTTGACATGTTTGCTCTAAGCTGAGCTGATCACCCAGCTATGGTGGCTCAGTGGCTGAGCGTCGATCTATGAATCAGGAGGTCAGAGTTCAATTTCCGATCAGGGCATATGTCCAGGTTGCAGGCTTGATCCCCATTGGGGTACGTGCAGGAGGAGACAGCCAATCAAGGATTCTTTCTCATCATTCTAGCTCTCTCTCCCTCTCCCTTTCTCTCTGAAATCAATAAAAATATATATTTAAAATATAAAATTAAACTGAGCTTATCTGTTGTTTTTTTTAAACACAGCCCTGGAAACAATTGAAACAAGATTCAGGAAAGGCATTGGTCTTTGGAGTCAGCCAACCTGGACTCAAGCCTTGATGTCAGTTGAGAAAATCTGAGTGTCAAACTCTCTGAAGCTTCACTTCCTATCCTACAAAAATGGAATCAATATAATTACCGCCAGGACAGTTTGGGGGTTCTCAAACTAGATCTAGCCCCTTCCCCCCATCTTTTTTTTTTAATACAAGCCCATTCTTCTACCCAAAAGATCTTCCTAAAGCAGAGGATTGTCCAAGTCACTGTCTTGTCCATAATTTCCTCCCTTCTGAGAACCTGGGCCAATCCACATAGCATGCCATTGTCTATCCGAGGCTCAGCCTGCTTTTTCCACTCAGTTCTGGCCATTCACCTCAATCCATGTGTTACTCTAACCAGATCAATACGGATTTATCGTGTACTTTCAATCCCTTGTAGCTGTATGTTCCTTCCAAAGCACTTCTCAAAAGCTTCCCTGCCCAAAATGCTTTTCCTGTCCTAGTCAACTTAGCAAACTCTAGCTCAACTCTCAAGACCAAGGATATCTCCACACTCATCCCCTTTTCAACTGGGCCTGAAGCTTCTCTGAAAAGAAACAAAGATTGATTTTCACTAGATGAAACCATTTCAATTTTTACTTGGCTTCCAACATGAAAAATTATTTTACTTGGCATCTAACATGAACATATCTAGACGCTATTTAACCACACAGTGAAGTAATTTTTTAAAATGCAATCTGTGTATCTACAATCTGAGCATTAAAAGCAAAATATGAGATCATTCAGATTCCCAAAGTCAATTAACTTTAGGTCTTCACAGTCTAGGTAGTCACTGAATTGTGAGAAAACCAGCACATATGCAGAACAATATGGCACCTGAAATAATTAGCTCATGCACACTGATTACTTTGCTCATTGATATCACCCGCTGGGTGCAAGATGTATGATTTCAAACATAATACTTCAAATTTGCTATAAATGAATAGTCAAAGATTCAAACAAGTTTAAGAATTCAGCAAATATTTGATATGTGACAGGGTTGTCATCCAAACCCAGGTCTATCTGCCCCTAAAGTCCATTTTATTTTCACCCTTCCACACTGTCTCTCTGTTGACTGGTACTGTGATCACAAGTGAATCTTCTAGCAACGGTCTACTAGTTTGTGTCCATATCCAAGTATAAGGTGCCATCACTAGCCAAATCACTCAAAATACTCTTTCACTTCAGGCAAAGGAATTTGTGTGTGCAGTAACCTCAAGAGAAAGAAAGATGGGATCTCTTCAAAACATGATTACATCCCATTAATAATGCACTTCATTCAAGTAATTTTCTTCGCTGGCATGTTCATCTTTAGCCTTTCTTATTTTGAGTTCAATTTCCTAGAATATATTTTACGTGTGCCTAAGTAAAAATAACATATTATAGTAGAATTATGACATGGCATAAGCCATCACTGAGTTGTTAAAAATAGTCTCACACATAAAAGGAAAAATAAATAAAAATATTATCACCTCTCAATTTCCCTGGCACGGGGATTGGAGGTTATTTATTGTTGTGGTGGTGTTGTATGACTTGATGATGGTATTAGTCATGTTTAGTGACCAAAATTGTGTATATATCTTTAATTCAAATGTTTTAGGGTCTTACGTCAATCTCAAAAATAAATTTACCCATGCTCTGCATGAAGTATCTTTCAATGGACAATAATATTTCTCACATGGTAAATGCAAAAGAAACGGAGACTTGATTAGAAAAGTCAGGAAATGTAACTTCTGTATAAAACTAAATATGAAATCATGCATGTTACAATGGGGCATTTTTAGCACATCTTATCATCCTGTTCAGAATTACCACTATAATTTTAGATGCAGTACAGACAGAGACAGAGACGCATATAGACATAGATACAGAGCATTTAAAAAACCAATCTGAACTGAAGAAAACATTGAGTTTAAATGTGAATAACTTGTCAAATTCATTGACAGGTAGAGTTCACTTATTGTAAGTGGCTTCCCAACCAACAACCAGAGAGTACGACCCCTGCTTCCTCGATCCCAGTCCTGGGAGAAAGGAGAAGAGATTTAAACATTTATGGGAGATAGAGATGAGGCCGCTTCCCTCTCCAGCACAAGCACAGAGGTGCCATCTGACTACAGCTCCCGTCATGCTGCCACTTGGCACATACCGAAGTTCCAAGAGTGGCCATGGCCAACAGGGAAGCTCCCAAACATGTCTGAATTTTCCATGTTTCTTCTGCAAGGACTTCTTGCCTTACTACTAAATGGCTTCATACAGTGTGTAAGTTGGCAAATAGCAAAGCACAGAGTCTATCTTTAAAGTGTTGGGGTTTTTTTTTAAGTTTCATAGGAATGGTAGGAGTTCCCCAGTCCCTCATGCAGCAGAAGGTCTACTCTACGGCTAGTGCAAAGAGAAGATGCAGGTTAAACAGTGGTAACAAGTCTAAACAGCTAGGTTGCCATCCTGTGTTAAGTAACATGGTTGGTGGTGACCAATTTTCTTTATAAGATAAAAACCACTTTATACACCGCAGGCAACAGGGCACATTCCACATGTGCATTAGGGCACATTCTACACATTTTCGAATGGGCATTATCCTGTGCCCTCTCCCAAGCTTATTAATTATCTCTATGAAGTTTTTTTTAAAAAAAAAAAAAAAAAAAAGAAAGAAAGAAAGAAAGAAAGAAAGAAAGAAAGAAAGAAAGAAAGAAAGAAAGAAAGAAAAGTACCGTTCAAGGTAAGACAGGAGCAAGGGTGACTCACCAAAAGCAAGTAAGGAAACATGTACCAGAAAAAGCCTATGCAGAGAAAAGGGACCAGAGTGTCTTATTCACTCCAGAGACAAAACTCAAACTGTGAATTTAAACAGGTTAAGCTGTTCTGCTACCTGGAGAAGTGGCTTGTTTTTAGGAAGTAATCCGCCATCAGCTAATTATCATATACCACTAAATAATAACTGATTTTCCATCTTATAATTCCCAATGTCATTTGCTGGAAGATGCATTATTCCTATGTAAATGCTATGCGATAGCCCTTGCACACACAAAAAAGAACAAAACCCCAATTAAGTCTAGAAAAGTAATTCAAAACAGTGGTTCCAGAGCTTAGAGATCAAAAACATGTTGATTGACTTTCCAACAGTTTTTAGGCAATATACCATCATATTCCAAATTCACCAGGTTAAACGAAATGATGAAGCAAATTAATTAATATACACAGGACAGAAAAAAGAAACAAAAAGCCTAAAGAGTTAATAATTAAAATCCAAAAGATATTGCTTGTTCTAATTATCAAGATAAAAATCTCAGGTTATCATATTTATGTTTAGGCATAGTGAGTGCTTATGCCAAGTATTGCAAATTCTCACCTATTAAAAGGCCCACATCCTTTTTCTCCTAAAATCCTTGGTCCAGTTAGTATTTTAATGTCTGTGCTTGAAAACTATATAAAAATTGTTTTTATCCCTTAAGTAGGACATTTTGCTATTCTAACAGATTAAAGTCAAACACGGGAGACCAAGAAAGTGGGTGATTTGTCAAGTTTTACCTGAAGGCCTTCAATAGCCAATCGCAGCATGCTGGGTGTAAGTTTAGAGGCTTGCTTGAAGGTGAAGTTACTCCAGTCTATGATCAAAACAAATCCATTTACTTGAAGCTCAGGATCTTCAATCATGGCTTCTAAAGACAGCAAAATGGCACGTAAAATGTCCACCAGCGTGTACCTGTAAGCAACAGAAAAGTCCTCATTACATCTGATAACTACTGTGGGAAGATTTTAGCACACTAAAAACTACTCTGAAAATACCTAATAAACTTAAAGGAGATTATTTTATTCAAAAGTTTTATTTTCAGAGCAACTTGTTTTGTGGCACTCAGGCAACATGTTCGAATTTAGCATGTATTCTACTAAAACAAACTATCATGCTTTGGGATATACTTCAGTTCTCTTCATATTTCACAGCCATTTACTTTACCTCTAGGCCTTCCTATCATTTTCTAAAATTTCATTTTAACTACTCTGAGAATTAGACATGGTACCTTTTTAAATAGCTCAGGGATGCTCTCAGTAATACTGACATCTCATATGTGTATATTTGAAATTTTTCTGAATGAGATTTGAGGAGTCTCAACAATAAACAAGAATTGTACTAGTATTTGAACAACTATGGGTAAAATTGTCAGCATATTTTAATTACTTGTATTGAGTTTGCTTCATAAAAATAAAAGAAAGAAGAAGAGATATATAGACAAAAAAAAAAAAGGGAACGTCAATGAGTACAAATTTAACTGTCTATGATAATGCAGGCCTTCCGAATTTAGAGAGTGGGTCTCTAACTTTTTCTGACTTGCACCTTAGTACTGTGTCTGGCACATTGTAAAAATCCAATAAATGCTCTTTATGTTGACTCTACTAGTACTGTGGACTGATGAAGGTGGTGGAGGTAAGGATGGTGATTAGAAGCTAGATTTGAGAAATATTTCAGAAGTAAACTTGTAAAAATTTGACAATTAAATATGGAGACTAATATGATGGAAAAGTAAAGGATGACACACAGATTCTAGCTTCAGGGCCTGAATAAATAATTAAATGCAAAAAAAAAGAAAGAAAGATGCAGTAGTGATGGCTGAAAATGAAGAGTTTGGAATAGAACCTGTAGTACACTATAAGGATGCCATATTCTTAGGACTATAAATAATCTATATACCACCCAGAGATTTAATGAAGCAAGTAAATACGTGAAGAAGTAGATTCTAAACTCGAGAGCTCAATGTTGAAAATCCCCAAGATCAAAAACATACAGATCCCTAAACTCAAGAAAGCGAAGGAGGTAATGCAACCAGAGCTGAGAGGAAAATGAGATAATTATTCTAAAAAAAAGAATTCTAGCACTTTAAGAGGAAGCAACAAAATTATGGAATGTGTTAATCATTTCCATTTTTGAACACCCTGTATCTCAAGGTTTTTTTTTTGTTTTTTTTTTTTTTTTGTGTGTGTGTGTGTGTGTGTGTGTATGTATGTGTTTCTCCTCAAACATTCAGGTGTTCAATAAAATTTACAGAAAGAAATCTTGACCTCAGGAGGAGATGGGATGGATTAGAAGTGAAATCACAGGTAGTTAGTGGAAGTGATAAGCTGACTTTCACTAAATGTTCACTCACAGTATGAGACAGTGAGCACATATGAGATAATAGTTGTATTTTTACTTCTAACAATGTTTGGAGGAGAATGGAGAAAGCATAGTATTGCAGGAAGGAAGGGACCGTTGACAACAAAAGTTCAGATGACTTCTCACTGTCTCTGGGCCTCCTTCTTCATCTGAAAAATTAGTGCAGTAGTATGGTATATGATCTCTTGGGTCTCAGCTTTAAGCAAGCATTCAGCATGGTGTCAGAAGATTTCAAGATGAATTGCTTCCCTCTCCCTCATTAGCTGTGTGAGCTGGACATACTTGGCAGGATATAATCAGAACTGAAGAATATTTGTTTTAATCTTTTACTTTAAAATTTAATGATGATCTTTAGATAGCCTATTACTATTGTAAAAGGCAAGGATCAGTGGGTTCTCTTTAAATCTCTGGGTGGTATATAAACTATTTATAGTCCTAAGGATATGGCATCCTAAAACACTTTCTAAATATATAATAAAATCTTTGTAGAGCTCTATTACTAATTCATCTTTAAAACTGTGAAATATGGCTCTAGATAGTTTGTCTCAGTGGACAAAGCGTCGGCCTGTGAACTGAGGGTTCCCGGTTCAATTCTGATCAAGGGCACATGCCTTGGGTTGCAGGCTCAATCCCTAGTGGGGAGCATGCAGAAGGCAGCCAATCAATGATTCTTTCTCATCATGGATGTTTCCCCCCACCCCTCTCTCTCTCCCTTCCTCTCTGAAATTGTAATAAAACTGTGAAACATGTGTGGCTGAATACCTTATCTGTCACTTCATGGTTGGCCTAACTTCTTTTTAAATAAAATGACCTAACACAACGTTATGACCAAAAGCCGATGGGAAGTTGGAACAAGAAAGCTATATTTCTGGTTAAAATATAGAGACCCTCCTTTAAGCAATATTCATTTTGATTCCTGAAGCTTATAATAATATCACAGTAATAAAAATTAGAAATTAGAAAAGTTCAACTTAGAACTTTACTCTCATTATGATCATTTTGCATCATCTATAAAAATACCAAAGAGCATTAATACCAAAGTAGCATTAAGTAAAATTTGAACCGAAACTAAGTTTTTGAAGGATGATGCAGTGTACATAGAAAGAATAAATCATGACACCAGGAAGGGCTGAAAATAAGAGGCAATTTGTTTTAAGTAACCCACTTTAAATACAGTTCTATAAAACTGTATCTAACTCAAGAGAAATGTATATGTACATTATGATTCCAACAGAACTAAAATACGACAGATCTCGGGATCAGTAATGGAACAAAAGCAGGTTTGCAAAGTTTTCAAGAGTAAATCTCACCGAGTTTTAAAATTTTATATCCTGCTCCAAAAAAAAAAAAAAAAAAAGAATTAAATGATATTTATATAAATAATGTCGATGTATAAGTTTTTACAAAAGAATCGTAAAAAAACATCCTGGCTGACTGCATTCAAAGGGCAGGTCAAAACCCCTCTTGACATCCCAGTCCTCTGTTGTCAAACATGTCACATCACTGCCATTAGCAGCTCAGCAGGCTATTCCAAAGCAGCGCATTATTAAGAGATATATCGCTAAAGTCTGTAAAATATCTTCCAGAGAAATGGAGCATTTTATGTATTTCATCTTTTCAGGAACCCCACCATGATTCTACTCTTTGGAATTATTTTGTACTGTTACAATTTATCAAGTGCCAGTGCAGTAAGTAGTCCACAAGTTCCTGCGTGGGGTTGACACCCCAATTTGTAGCAGCTCCACCATGGCTATTCTTCCCTTGTAACTGACTAGCACCTCTACACAGCTCTTGGCCCCTGATTGTGCTTCCTACACAGCATAAGGAAAGCCTGAATCTGACATCAACTTGGAAAGGAAGATGAGTGGCATGGAATGAGAAGAAATAATGCCGCCAGTTAAGTGAGAAACCAGTCTAGGCGGGCCATGCTCTTGAAATAGATCAAAGTTGCTATAATTAGATGGAGACTTTGCCACCCACTTTTCCTACTTACTACCAGTGCAATCAAGAACAGGGGGACGCACTACCTGGTTTGACTCAGTGGATAAACAGTCGGCCTGCAAACTGAGGGGTCCCAGGTTTGATTCCGATCAGGGTCATGTGCCTTGGTTTCAGGCACATCCCAAGTGGGAGGTGTGGAGGAGGCAGCTGATCGATGACGTTTCTCTCTCATCCATGTTTCTAACTCTCTATCCTTCTCCCTTCCTCTCTGTAAAAAATCAATAAAATATATATATTTTTTTTAAAAGAACAGGGGAGGGGGCTTGTTCTGCTTCCATCCATGAAAGGCTTTGGGTGCCCACTGGTCCTGTGCTTCTCTCCTGGAGTTCACAGCAAGCACCTCATCCTCTACCCCAGTTTATACAAATGGTGCAAAGGGCAACCTAAATCACAAACAGGTCATTTCCTTCCTCCTTCCCAACCCATTCTTTCAGCCTGATGGGGGAAACTGGCATCTTGGCATCACAACAGTAAGCAATTTCCCTTTGTTACTAAATCAATCAGCCATTATTAAATTCTTCATTAAGGCTGCCCCCGCCCATCAGTGTTCATTAAGCCAGATCTGAAGCATTTCCTGTTAGAGAGGTGCTAGGGAAGAGACAAAGGAGAAGAATTACCTTTATTAATGCCTCCAGGTGTCATTAGTGCCAAAGTTGAGCCCATCTGCATGTTTTATATGACTGAGGGAAAATAATAATAATACCTCTATCCATGCAATAGTTTCAGATTTCCAAAGGAATTTCAAATGCATTATCTTAATCTCAAAATGAGCCCGAAGTCTCAGGACTGGCTTTGATCCTATTATTTTGGAGATGAGGTCACAGAAGAGGTCTCAACAAAATATAGAGATGAAAACAGAAATCTCAGAGAATGACAATAGTCTGCCCAGAATCCCCGTGGGAGGAAAACAGCAGCCCACAAGTGAAGCCAGCTCTGACACCTCAGTTCTCTCCCCTCCCTGAGCTGTCTCATGCCTAGAACAGAGTGTGATGAGTAGCTGTTCCGCTTTTTATGTCTCAGTGGCATAATGCGTCAGAAGATGGATCAGAAAGTCAATACCAACATGGTGCCATGCCAGGTACCAGGACACGTTCCAGCCTGGCCCCAACAGGGGGCTTTGGTGGAGGAAGGGCAACAAGACATTCAAAAGAACTGGGATGAGAAGAGGCTCAGTCTACAAACCCTGGAGAAAACAGGAATTCTGAAATATTGATGTGTCTGGCTTGTATCGCTAAGCACAGAAGATTATCTGTGTGGGCCTTGCTGCTAAGGGAATGTAGGTAAGAACAAAAGATGGTTTGTTGGAAATAAAACATCCAGAGAAAAAAATGTCTTTCCTTGAAAAAAGGTTTAAAGAGTGTACACCGCTGCCACCAAAATAAAATAAAACAGAATTGAGCTGGAAATATGCAAACACATCAGAGAGGCAATTCTTCCTGTCAGGACAGGATACACCCAGCCAGTGCCGGCTTAGTGCAGTCTATCCCTCAGAATACTCATTGCAGAAACTTAACTTTCTGTGTCTAATCATCAATATTAGGATAGTTAATCAA